GACTCAAAGGTTAACTGACCTGGACTTAACCTTCTAGAGGTTCATAAACTTGTTTACCCTCTTTGGAGAAGACCTCACAGCTGACCTCACTAGTTTCCCAGCACAGAATATCACTGCACTCCTGATTAATGACACCCAAGTTGCCTGCTGGAAAGGTACAAAAGCTCTGCTACAATATCTAGCAGAAACTGGTTGCAAAAAAACTGCCAATTTCTTGGAGCTGCTGGCTTCTATAGAATATGGATCCTTGAGTTCACAAAAAATGATGGCTTACCTGTGCAAATACTTGGATCTAGTTCCCTAAGGGCTGCCTCCCCTCTCTGGCTTCATGCTCTAACAGCCATTGTCCTTCTGATTTAAAAAAAAAAAAAAAAAAAAAAACGGACAAACTCACCATAGTAGACTAAGACCTAACTGTCCAGGTGCCACATGCTGTACTGAACCTAAAAATGGACCCCGACAGATGCTGAGTAACCCCTGTTTACAGATGGAAGTTGCTCTATTAGAAAGGGAGTGGACAGGCTAGATATGTTGTGATCACCTTGGACAAAGTTATTTGGGGCAGAGCTCTCCTGCTACCGCTTCCAGCTGCTGTTTGGAAACCTGACACCAACAGTGCCAAACCTGTGCTCCTGAGCCGGCTGTGGGGACCCTATTGACAGAGACATGAGCCACATCCAGAAAACCTTGACCCAGTGTTCCTGGAAGATCACAGCCAGACCTGCCCCCACTGTGTGTTCTGCAGGCTTAAGCCACTGCGCTGGCACCTGTACCCCTTCAGGCAGCTCAAGCTTCAGCATCTGTGTCACCAGCCCCAACCTCCCATCCCCTACCTGCACTGAGAAGACAACAGAAGTTTATAGGGTCCTGCTATGAGAAACCATCCCTAGATGTGGCCTACCCTTGACCCCTGGCAATGACAACAGACCTGCACTTGTAGTGGAGATAACTAAGTAGAAACTACATACAGCACACAGGCCACACACTCTAAAAAGTTGAGAAAATAAAATATAACCCTACAGAAACAGCTTGTAACTAGCTCCATAAAAGTTTGGCTAAAAGACCACCTATAGGCCAGGTATGGTGGTGCATGCCTGTAATCCCAGCAGTCAGGAGGCTGAGACAGGAGAATCACCATGAGTTCGAGGCCAACCTGGGCTACACAGTGAGTTCAAGGCCAGCCTGAACTATATAGCAAGACCCTGTCTCAAAAAAAAAAAAAAAAAAAAAAAAAGACCCAGCTATGCCTGTAGATACTCCTGCACACACATATAACCCAGGTGCATATTAACTACAAGTTTCAGAAATCCAGAAATTTGTCCACCATTCCAGAGTTTTGGAAGCCCACCATTCCAGAGTTTTGGAAGCCCATCCAGATGATTGTAGCTGGACTAGATAGTTCCTCTGGGGCTCACTCTGAAGAGACAACACATTCAAAGCCCAGCTCTGGTCACTCTGGATGCTGACCAGTCCACACATCACTGAAGCTAGCTGTGGTTTTTACCTTAAACTCTATGGACGGTTGCCCCAAGACAGTAGAACAATCAATCAAACACTTGACCAAGATTTGATGATCGTCCAAGGCACACTGGACACGCTCCTTCATCAGATTAACTCCTTCACTACCTTGCCACAGTAATAGTAAATCACAGCCACTGAAGGGGAAACATGTCTCTTCTCAAAAGCAACCTAGGGAAAAACTCTGTAATAAAACAATCTTGGGGACCTTGGCTAGCACCAGTCCTAGGATCACTGACAACCCTAATGTAACTGCTTCTAGTTGAGCCTTATCTCAGAAGATCACCTGTAACATGCCCAGCAAAGATTTGCCAGGGAACCTAAGACAAATGTAGCAGAAGACACCCCCTCACACACACCAGTATACTGCAGTTGCCCAGGTAATAGTTCTTGTTGTAGTTCCCTTGCTTCTGTCCCCTAGAAACGGCCGGTCACTCTGATGCATATGGTAAGAACCAATCAGACAGCCAAATACTCTACCTCTACACTTCCCCTTGCAGACCCCATAAAAACCTCCCTCCCTGAGCCCTCGGGACCTCATATTTTGAGGGATAACTGATTCCCTGTCGGTGCCTGTTGATGTAAAATAAATCTACCTCCAAATCCTGGGTGTTGTTTCAGGGTGTCTGTTTGCTGTTGCAGTGTGGCTGGTGGCGGTAACCTGGATGTTCGTCACCGTAACACCATACAGTAAGTGTGATGGAGATGTGCCACAGAATGCTATTCAGCAGTTAGAAACCGTAAACCAGATGCACATACAGCAATACGACTAGATCTTAAAGCCACGCTAAGGGTTTTTTTAAAGCATAAGAAACAGAACTAGTACTATTATACACTCAGGGATCCCTGTGAAAAACCTTAGTAGCTGCCTATGGGGACAGAAGAGTGGAAATAAAAACCCGAGATAAAGGAGAAAATGCAAATAAAATGAAACCTTGCATGGATGGGTGTTGGCTGCGTACCGAGAGCTGAGTGTAACAGTCCATTCCATTTACTGGTGAGAAGGACTGGTGAGAAGAACTTGGTGAGAAGGAAAATAAGACTTGAGTAAAGCCAGCAGCCTGCTCCCAGACAGAAGATGGGTCCCCCAGGCAGAGCAGAGCAAGTGGGGCAGAGGCAGCACCTCTGCACAGCCCTGGTGCTCCTCACATCCGTTTCCCAGGACAGCCTTCATCTCCACTTACAACCTCACCAGCGTGGCCTTTGCTGACTGCATTCCAATCAGCCATCAGGTCTTCCAAGCTCCAACTTTCCATGTCTTCTCTACCTGCATCCACAAACCTGTTCAAACTCCTCCCGTAAACCAGTTCTGAAGCTTCTGACCCCACGCTTAGGTACAATCAGCAAAATCCCCGCCCCAGCACCAGTACTTTGTATTAGTCACCTTCACCTTTCACCAGCACCCACCACTTAACCAAGAAGGGGTTTATCTGACTGTGGGTCTTAGAGGGCCTGATGCATGCACAGAGGACTAACTCCAAGACAAACACCACAAGAAGCATGGTGGGAAAAAGCAGCTCAGTGCAGAACGAGCAACTGAAAGGAACAGTTAATGCTTAAATGTTCTTTCTTTTTAATTTTTTAACCAATTTTGCATGCTTTATCTGGTTATCTGAACAACTAATTTGAAGACAACAATATGCAATATAACAACCATTGTTGAATTCCTATCATTTTGTTCAGTGAAATTCTGTAGTGTTTCTAATGTTTTTACTATTTTTTATTCTCTTTAAAATAAAAAAAATTAAATTAAAAAAAATAAATAGAGGTGACAGAGGAGCCCCCTTTCCGGCCAGGCCCACCTATGACAACACCTTGAGCTATGAAACCATCCATGGATTAATCCACTGAAGATTAACCCACTCCAGGGACGCCCACCTGTAATCACATTAGTGACCCAAGGGGCCCTCCTCCTCCTAAGGTTCCCCTCCTCCAGTGGCCACCCTGGGGACCCAGCCCAGCGTCATTCCCCAAGGGCCTTTGCGGACCTTTGACATCCACACCCTGGTGACCGGCTCCTCCAGGCTGCTGTCCCCGCGGAAGGATGAGGCAGGTGAGATGCAGGGTCAGTTTATTCGGGCTTCCTCCACCGTGCGGGAGGGGACACTCGGGGGCGCAGAAGGTGGCCGCTGAAAAGGCCCTGTGCCCTGCACGGGCGAGCGCATCTCCGGCTACGCGGCAAGGGTAAAGTCAGCTTTGTACGCGAATGTGAGCCGGCGAGGTCCGGGTTCCCCCAGGACGAGGACGCTGGGTTGTCTTCTCCTCCAGACCCGCGGCGCACGGCTGCGTGGTGTCCGGGCCTCGCCGCGCGCTGCAGGGGCCGGGGCGGAGAAACGGGGCGAGGGCACGGGGGGGAAACGGGGCGCGGGCACGGGGGGAAGACGGGGCGCGGGCACGGGGGGGAGA